TAACATCAATTTATATTATTGCATAGAATCTCAACGATTTTCTCAATATTTACGTCTGAAATGTTTATACATTTGAAAACAACACTGTCTCGCTCCTTCCTAGCTCTGTATGAATATACCGTCAAAATAATTTCGGCACTTAATTGAATGTCCGTAATGCATTATAACATCAATTTATATATTGGGTAGAATCTCAATGATTTACTCAATATTCACGTCTGAAATGTTTTTACATTTGAAAACAACACTGTGTCGCTCCTTCCTGTAATGTTTACTGCATACGTGGCAGTCATGCAATAGTTTATTGAATATAATTAACTAGCTATTTAAATACACATATATAATGAGGTGCATGCATATTAGATAAAGGTCAGTATATTACATCCCTTCCAACTTAATTTAGAACGTTGCTATATTTCTAATAATAATTTAACATACTATAATAATTGTGTTTATTGTTTTTTTTTCTTATTTCCTAATTGTCTATAATTTAATTAAAGGTCCATTTAAGTTCAAACAATTAATTTAAAGTTATATTCACGTTCAACGTGGAACATAGTCTTTAAAGTATGCCGGTTTCCGTCTCTCTCTTCTCGGTCGTTCTTTTTGAATGTTTCTTGGTTCAATGTTTGTTGTTTCTACATTCTGTTCTGCTCGTTGTGGTTGCCTTTCTTTCTCCACTTGCATTTGATTCCCTTCAGGTGTTATTTCACTAATGTTGGAATGATCTTGTTCTTGTATTTGTACTTCGGTTGTATTCTTCTCTGGAATGTTTGTTGGATTCTGATTTTGATCAATTTCTTCTTGCTCGAAATGGCATTTCTCTTTGTTGAACGTGACCCCGTAGTCTTTTGCTCGTTGGAGGACAGTTCTCAAAACTTTTCTATGTTCTTTCTCATCCCTTCCGCCGAGGAGGATGTCATCTCTGGCGACCCCGTAGTCTTTTGCTCGTTGGAGGACAGTTCTCAAAACTTTTCTATGTTCTTTCTCATCCCTTCCGCCGAGGAGGATGTCATCTCTTTGGTTGAGGCAATGAGGTATATCTCCAAATATTCGGAACATCAATTCATCAAACACGTCTTGCGATGACTTCGCGCCGAATACCAGTCTTCGTGGTCTGTAATTTCCCCATGGTGTACTGAATGTTGCTATCTTTCTTGTCTCTGGGTCGAGTGCTAGTTGGTGATAGCCTTGTCGTAGATCTAGCTTCGTGAATATTCTGCAATCGTGCAGATGATACTCAAAATCTTCTACTCTAGGTGCTTGGACACATCGGCTGCGCTTCATCGATCGGTTTGGTATTCTCATATCTATGCTTGCTCGGATCATTTGGGTTCTAACTTTTCTTTGTCGATCTCCGTGTACTTAGGTTTCGGTTGAACCACTAGCGGTGAACACCAAGTGATTGGTTCCCCATCTGGGACTTTCTCGAATATTTTCTCTTCAACGCCTTGGTTCAGCCATTCTTTCAAAGGTTGCTGCAGGTGGTATGCCACATGTCTGGGTTTCTGTGCTACCGGTATCGCTTCTGGGTCGATTTCTAATTTGACTTCGATTTCTTCTCCTGTGTTCTTGTCTCGAATGCATCCAATTCCTTCAAAAGCTTCTTTATATTCGTCCAGGATTGCTTCCACGTCACCCGTTGCTTTCACGGAGTGTATTCTAAGTTCATTCGTCTCTTTCAGGGTTCCTTGCGGTTCTATCTTGAGCATTCCGAGTTCAATCAGCGTGTTCTTGCATACCAGCGGCGGTGAATCCATTTTGCCTTCGATCACCAGAAATTTACTCGTTGTGCCCCGATTACAGTTTCGTAATATGGTCCTGAACTCGCCTTTTACTGCCAGTGTGGATTGGAGTGTCTTTAAGGTGTCATTGCTCAGTTCCAATTCTTTGATGGACTTCGATCTGTGTTGAAGAGCTCTGAATTGGTACTCGTCCATTATGTTTGCACTTGCTCCGCTGTCTGGTTCAACGCTTGCGTCGATGTCTCCTATTCTGATCAATACAGTGTCCTTGTTCTTGCCTGATCGGACTCTCTTTACATGGTGCGACACATGTTTGCCTGTTTGAGATATAAATTCGTCGTCGGAGTCGCTGCTTGTATGATCATCCGATGTTTTCTTGATGTGCTTCTGAGAGTTTCCACCCCGGTGGTCTCGATTTCTGTTGCTCCATCCAGGTTTCTCACTTTTACCGCTCTTGCAACATGTTGCGAAGTGATTGTACTTGCCACACTTTAAACATTGTTTTCCGAACGCTGGGCAATTCTGGCCAGGTTTGTGACTATCTGTTTTTCCGCAGTAGCCACACATCTTTCCAGGCTTCTTCCATTCTTGCTTTGCCTTTGGCCCATCACGTTTGGTGTACGATCCGTGTGCTTTCGCTTGTTTCTCACCAGTGAATTTGTAATCTCGTCTGTGTTTTTCTGCACGTCGACCTATTCTTGCTACTTTATGGTCGTCTTTCATATCTTTGACTTGTTGTCCAATATCTTCGCGTTGACTGGCTTCTTCGATAAACTGTTCTAAGTTCCATCGTTTTTGAATGCATCTCTTAATAAGATCGTTGTCTTTGATAGTTTGGATCAAGTGTTCTAGAATTCTGTCGTCAGCTTGGTCTCCAAATTCACAATCTCTCGCTTTCTCACGCATTCTGGCTGCGTACGCGACGATACTTTCATATGACTCCATTCGTTGTTTGCTAAACGTATATCTTGCATAGTGTTTGTTTTTCTTGGGTAGAAAATGATTGTTTAATTTCCTTTTTAGTTTCTCGTAGTCGTTATCTACTTCAATAAGTGGTGGGTCTGGTAGATTGCGTGCCAACTTTTTCAGTTCTTGTCCGCCATATATTTTGAGAGCGCTAATTTTGTCTCGTATTTCTCGTATCTCGAAGTATGTTATTTCGTCTTCGAAATATTCAATCCATTCTTCCCATGCTCTGCCGACTTTTAAATGATTGTCTGGAATCTTGAACGGCTCTATTTTAAGAGTTTTGCTCGTCGCTATTACTCTCCTATTGTTCTGCTCTGCTGCTTGCCCTTCGGCCATCGGAATTTCGTCTCAAAGTCCGATTTCTTTCGTTCGCTTTTGCTTAGTTTATTTCCCCGGGTTTTTCTAAATGTCCGTTGTAGAGTCTTTGCTAACTCATCATCTAGCTTCGCTTATCTTACTAGGTCCATTGCTGCGATATTTTTACAATATTTCGTGTTTTTTTCTCCTCGTCGCCAATGTAATGTTTTCTGCATACGTGGCAGTCATGCAATAGTTTATTGAATATAATTAACTAGCTATTTAAATACACATATATAATGAGGTGCATGCATATTAGATAAAGGTCAGTATATTACACTTCCTAGCATCGTCAGATTCGTCACGCCATCGTGATATACACGGCTAGATAGCGCATGCGCATTTGCGCTGCTAAAGAAAAATCGGCTGTTCCGGGGCAAAGATCCTTTAAGCCTGGTTCACATATGCCTGCGACAGTATCATTATGTCTCTACTTGCCGCCGAAATACCGGCAAAGTTAAACTCAACTCAACTTTCCCGGCCTACCGCCGATGTAACTGAGGCACTGGAGGCAATCGGCGAACAAATGTTCACATAATTTATGTTTTAAAGCTAGCACCGTATCATCGCCGGTACATCGCCGGTACGTCGCAGGTATATATGTGAACCAGGCTTTACACGACATGAGAAGCGAATGTTATAAAATTTTCAAAAATTTACAATAACGACAACGATTCCTCGAAATTTTTGTGAACTTGGCAAAAGGACAAAAGAATATTTAAATAAAACAACTGAAATTGCCTAAATAACCTTCAAAGCACTGACTATGTACAATAACTCACCACAAACATAAATCGTAAACACCCTCGGAAAGTTTACTCTCTGCCTGTATGTGTGAATAGATAGGATAGATATATAGATGTATGAATACATGCCTCGTCTCACCTTGCCCACCTAACAGCAATAGTGCAAAGTGAAACTTTTCACTAAAAACGAATTTCTTGAAAAATAGTTTTTCGCACAGAGCAGCAGCGTATTGGAACAACATCCCAATAAACTTGTTGAAAACCCTAAGAGAGTCAACAAGCTTAAGAACTGTTCATTATCTATTAAACGATCACGTCTTGTAAATAAGTAAATAAGTATATTTTGAAAATAAGTATCATTTAGTTTATTAGTAATACACAGTATTCGAGCGTCGATCTTACGACATACAGCAGTGTAAAAGGCTTTTAGAACCTGCTTTGGTGCATTATAACCTTTTAATATCTTCAGGAAGTACAATCTTTTTACGCTTTTTTTACAATATAGCATATGTTAGTAGACCACTTCAAATTGTCATCGGTCCATAATGCAAGTAATTTGTAACATTCAACCCTTTCGAATACTTGACTATTCATTTCTAGCGGTGGAATAACTGTTACATTTTTCGGAAAGTCAATTATCATTTCTTGAATTTCGTTCGATTTAACTCCATCCTATCTTCTTCAGTAAATCTTAAGACGCTCTTAACTTTACTGCCAGTTGCATGCCAGAAATATGGTGACTGACATCTAGTAGCTCGTACAATGTAGTGTCATTCATAAACATTATTCTATCATGTTCAAGCATAACATTGGCTTCCATGTTGGTGGATAGCATAAGCTGAATTTCTTCTTTTATGACAGAGGGTAGTTTATAAATCTTTATTACAAAGGCAATTGGTCTGCCATTGCTTCCTTGTGGCACTCCTCCATTAATGTATGCATAATCAGACGTATCATTCCCGAATTTAGTAAAATGAGATCTTTTATTGAGATATGTTCCAAACCATTGAATTAAGGCCAATCTAACTCCCATCTCTTTCATATTTCTTAGCAATATATTATGGTCAATTAGGTCAAACGCATTCCTAAAGTCAAGAAAGATTATTCGTATCCAAGGTTCTCAACGATTGTGTATGGTATGGTCTTAGGAATCCCAGTTACTTTATATTTTTTTCCAAGTTTCGGGGAATTTCTTTGTCTGAAATGATTCACTGAAAATTTCAGCAAGAGCGACTGCAAACAATTTCGGAAACATTTTCAGAATCTTCAAAAGTGGATTATTTGGTCCAGGTGCCTTATTAACATTAATTGCATTTAATTCTCTAGCAACTTCTTCAACACTGATTAACGGTAGATCATACGGGCATTGCATTTCTGGCCACTCGTTTGTTATCTGTGGATAATCTGTCGTCAGGTTAACAAAGAACTTATTAATTGAATCTGCCGATTCATTTGGAGATTTGTCTCGGGGTCTACTAAAGTCACAGCGTTTTTCCTTGATCCAATTAATCTTTTAACTTGCTTCCTCCATGCTTTTGGGCATGAACTATGCTTTGGTCGTATCTTTTTATCATAAAACTGCGGCTTGGCCTTCTTTATCTCAGCAGAAACCTATGGCGGGTGATGTGTGTCAAAATTAAGTGAAACATTTTGACAATGATCGTATAACATTTGGCATGCGTGTCAAACAATTTGGCAATGATTTGGCATCATTTGGCTATTGGTTCTGACTATTTTATGGCAACTGCAAAACATTTGGTGACAATATCAAAATATTCAACAACAAAAACTCGTTTGACAACAATTTATCATCCTTTGACAATGACCTCACGTTTGACAAATGACCTCACGTGTTCAATCATTTCATATGGCAACAACAATCTCAAAATGCATTGCGAATTTGCAAATTTGGAAACAAGATGGCGGATCAACATCAACCGGACGAAGTACGAGATTCAATTTTAACACGCTTAGAAATGCTTTTAAACGATGTTACGGCAGCTATTTCACCAGATCCTGAACCCCATATATAATAAATCATATTCGCGATTGCTCTGAAACTCTTGAGTTATCGATGTCTTGCTGTTTTCTCTGCACAAGATCCTAATACGTACAGCGGATATCCAAATCAAGCAAGACTCTTGGTTGACATTATGGAGAGCTCTGTTTTCAATGGTGGAAATAAGGAAAGAAGAACAAGAAGAATGCGAACTGCAGGGAGTCCTAATTTCCAGAGACCAATTGGTGTACCTTATAGATGGGGTTCAGGATCTGGTGAAATAGCTGCCGTAACATCGTTTAAATGCATTTCCAAGCGTGTTAAAATTGAATCTCGTACTTCGTCCGGTTGATGTTGATCCGCCATCTTGTTGCAAAATTTGCAAACTCGCAATGCATTTTGGGATTGTTGTTGCCAAATAAAACGATTGTTGCCAAACGTGAGGTCATTGTCAAATGATAACATTTTGGTTTAGTGCGGTGATAAATTGTTGTCAAACGAGTTTTTGTCGTTGAATATTTTGATATTGTCACCAAATGTTTTGCAGTTGCCATAAAATAGTCAGAACCAATAGCCAAATGATGCCAAATCATTGCCAAATTTTTTGACACGCATGCCGAAATGTTACAAGATCATTGTCAAAATGTTTCGCTTAATTTTGACACACATCACCCGCCATAGAAACTTGCCTACGTAATGATATGGAAAGCTCGGTTTTATTGCCTTTAAAAGCTTTATTTCTCTTACCTATCAGGGTTTTAATATTTTGCGTCATAAAACGTTTATCGTTGGTATTGCTTTTTATTATTCTTTCGGGGAAAAACTCATTAATAATCACTTTACTAGAATGAAGAGAAGCATGGACTTTCTCAACGAGTCCTTTGTTGGAGAAAACTACACTCCAGTCATAGTTCTCTAAAAAACAACCAAACTGTTCCGTATTTGTATGGTTGACAACTCTTACTTTTACCATTACTATATTTCCAGCCTTTTCTACTGAAGCGTCAGTTCTCGATTTCCACAACACTATGTTATGATCCGATGTTGATAGGAGTGCTAAGATCTCAGGATTTGTATAAAAGTTCGCAATGAACATAACATAACCTGCTGCCAGGGCATTTCGAAAGTATGTTTTACATTAATAAGCAAGTGCATAATTATGATACTAGGAGAGAGAATGAATTTCACATTATAACACCTAGAACAAATGTACGACAATTTTCAATAAAGTATCAATGTCCATTCCTATTCCATTTGGATACGTACATTGTAAATAGTAAATCGCTTTCTTCTTTTACAAGGAAATTAAAAAATTACCTTTGCTCACCTTATATTAATTAATTAGCATATCTGTATTACTCATAAGTTTGATAATTTATATTATTCATTTGTAATTAAAAGTTAGAAATATGAGGAGGTTTGATAATAAATAAGCCTAATGGTTTCGTATCAAACCTCGTCACATAATCCTTTTTGTAAAATTATATATTATTATTACTTATATCATACATTACCGTAATTTATTATAATTTCATTGCTCTATATAATTGTGTGATAAATTAAAAATTCATTCATTCAATTCATATTTGTAAAAATCAAATCGAGTATATTATTATTCCGTGTCGGAACTTTGACAATTTGTTTAAAACTGCAGTGCCTATTTGTTGGGACTCTCCGTGCAGAGTTTGTTGTAACAATTTATAAAGGTAATCATAAAAACTGTCTATCTCACTTTGACTAGGTGGTACAATACACAGCATACCGCAAATTTGGATATTACTCTTGGTAACCATTTTGGACGTAACGTGACCCACTGATACTCAAACGAGGGATCATGCAAGTCCTTGCGAATTTTAAATGGTATTTTACTATTCACATATAGAGCAACTCCCCCTCCTGTACCATACGTTCTACCCAATGTCAATCCGGAACAAGTTACAGCTTCGTCGGGAACAGTTTCCTTAAACCAAGTCTCAGTGATGCAAACTATGTCGATATCATTATTACCGACTACTATTTCCAATTCATCTATTTTGTTAATAAGTGACCTTGCATTTAAAAGCATTACACTTGGGAGAGGTTTCGCATGTTTAGGTTTATCGTTGTTCTTTTCCAAAGGAATATTAATTAAGTTGGATTTACGTATACTATTATAGCTCCAAATTTTTGAAGGTTTCCTGGCAGGGTCACCTAAAGTTACCACTTGAATTTTGTTGTTTATGTTCAAATAATTAGGTTGAAAGGAACTACAATACAGTACGTGGGCATAATGTTGGGTAGACCAGTCTTTGCATATAATCTATTTGAATTGTTAAAATTCGAGACTAACGCCTGTATTCTAAAAGCTCACTCACGCTCACACTCAAAGTGTGGAGGTTCAATCTGAGCTTCTCTTGAGTTGAATAGCTGGAGGGTTAGTCTCGTACCTTACTATGCGACTACTCACCCTCCAGCTATTCAAAAACAGCATTGACAGTCAAGGCAAGCTCAGATTGAATCTCCACTCTGCGAGTGTTAGCGTGAGTGAGCTTTTACAATAGAGGCGTAAGTCATTGTTGTGATTATGTGCACGAACTCGAGATACATTGCTCATTCTCGACTCCAGGCACGGTTGGGCGGTTGTATTTGAAAATGGGATGTATGAATTCTCGTCTTTAACATGTGGAATAATTCGATTTTGAGACACACGCCTAGACGGTGCGCTTGTTGTATTACCACATTTAACCCCTTGATTCACAAGGCAGTGCTTATTTCTTTTAGGCCTGCGTTTTTTGCCTTGTAGGCCGTCGTCTATAGTGCCCCAAAGGTTGGCTAGAAAACGATTTTCGTTGCACACCTCTTTAAACTAAAAGAAAAGTACATATTCTTATAGATTAAGTGACGCTGAATCCAAATCTAAAAAGTTCTTGCCGGTTCACCCTGCAGTTTTTTTGTAAATTGCGATCAAAATCTTAAAATTTACGAGTTTCGCAATAGCATTTTTACTATATGCCATAGTGAAAATTAATTATACAGGATAGGTCACTTCCACCTCCTCTTGAGATATGTGAAATCAGATTTGATGTAAACAATGAGCAACACGATTTTCAAGTTTCATATATTATTGCGACAAAGCGTATTTTCTGGCTTTGTACGAAGATATTTAGCAACACCAGGCATTATTCCAAGATTACGAACTTATGTGCATACTTTTTCATCCTTATTGCGTGTAATAAAGGACGAAATTAACAAACTTCAATTTTATATTTTGAAGACAGAGTAATGGACATAATTTTTAGTAATTGATATATTTGTATGGTAAGCCAAAAACTATCAAATACTTAATAGTAAATATATAAAATACATATTTAAACAATACTATAATTAGTGCCATATAGTAATTAATAGCACATTAGCTTTTATCATCATCACAGTCCACTGCCTTTCATCTAAGTTATTGTCAATTAGATCTATCCATATTGAACCAGATCTATCTCACTGTTCTCACAAAGTTTAGTGCACTTTAAATTTGCTTTAAAAATGAGAATTTTGTTAGACAACCCTTTTTGCATTTATAGCTAACAAATTACTGACCAACTCGGCCCATACCATCTCGGCCCAATAGTTAACTACTGTTTGACATATTAGGGAACTAAGGAAGCTTATTAATATTTTACAAAAGGCAGCACCAAACCGATACAGCCATTTGCAGTTGCATTGGGCATACAGATGAGCAAAGTTTGATTGCAATTGGCTCTGAACAATTTATAAATCAATATCGCAAGAGAACATCCAGTTTGGCTTAATTTAAATATCTAAATTACTGATATTTCAAATCTCTCTCAAACTTTGCAAAGATAGAATGTGGTCATGGTTCCTAACTTGTTTAATGGTTAGATTAGTCAGTTTAGGAGCTGGACGAGTTTGTCCTTGAACGGTGGGCCGAGTTGGTTCGTTGGCCGAGTTGACTGTAAAGCATTCTAAGATGCTGTGTGGAGCAGGGCCTTGTGTCCCCCATGGGCATTATTGATCGATGTGGTATTTTCCTGGCTGTAAAGATATCACTCCAGGAGTGAGAGCAATGAGTCTTTGGTACATAAATTATGCTCGCTAATATATGTCTGCATACTGGCCGGAAATGATTTGTTTGCATTAGACACACCCCGGTATTGAAATATTGGGATGATATCTACTCGAAACCATATGCAGTCAGATAAATATTTAATTAAATACTGTTATAAGGTTGAAGAGAATATTGAAAGTTTTTTTGCAAATAATCAAATACTGACAGTAAATCGACACTTGGATACTGTAACTGTGTGACACTATAACAAGTTGTCAAACTGGATGTCATTCCATAGTTTTGAGTTCACTGGAGAATGTTCATAATCTTTTTAGGCATATAACATAAAACTAATTTAGATAACATGCATCAAGGGTTGGATCTAGGATAACATGCATCAAGGCACTACCATGGGGGCACTCTAAGGGGGATTCATCCTCCCCTAGTCTACCTCACAGCCACTCTTTGTGTCAAGGTTTCTCCCTATGAGTGGCAGCTCACTCGAGCACAACATTCCTTTCCTGAAAACAACTGATCACAGTAATGTTTCTAAATTTTGGAAACATGACCTTGAGACAAGATATTTATGAATTATTAAACATTAAGATATCTAACGAAAGACAACGGGAACGGAATGCTGTGCTTGAGTGAGAAGCCGCTCGTGAAGAGAAACTCAATACAAATATAGCGGCTCTGAAGGAGACTAATGCATGCTTCCCCAGAATATTTTAAAAATAAGGTGCCCCAGATTGGCTAAAAATACATTTGCCATACAACATTTGTAACATCATCCTATAATCTATACATTTATACATTATCAAACTATGAAGATGGATGCACTTATAATTGCATTTCTTAGCTCATTCCTACAGAACAGGTAACATTCTTTCTATTGGTTACAATTTTCCCTCTGAATTTCTCCTTTTATCTAAATTTTTACAATATCTACATTTTTTTCTTTCATGGGGAAATATCTGATCCGGACAGCATCTGCTCCGGATACAGTAGCTGCAAATGCAAAAAGGGTTGTCAAACAAAAAGATGCTCATGTTTTAAGGCAAATTTGAAGTGCACTGAACTTTGCAAATGCACTAACACTTTATTAGCTATGCTCTTGGCATAATTTTATACAAAAATCCACACAATTAAGCAATTGTGAGAACAGTGAGATAGATCTAATTGACAATAACTTTATAGATGAAGGCAGTGGATTGTGATGATGAAACCTAATGTGCTATTAATTACTATATGGTATTAATTATAGTATTGTTTAAATATGTATTTTATATATTTACTATTAAGTATTTGATAGTTTTTGGCTTACCATACAAATATATCAATTACTAAAAATTATGTCCATTACTCTGTCTTCAAAATATAAAATTGAAGTTTGTTTCGTCCTTTATTACACGCAATAAGGATGAAAAAGTATGCACATAAGTTCAATATCTTGAAATAATGCCTGGTGTTGCTAAATATCTTCGCACAAAGCCAGAAAATACGCTTTGTCGCAATAATATATGAAACTTGAAAATCGTGTTGCTCATTGTTTACATCAAATCTGATTTCACATATCTCAAGAGGAGGCGGAAGTGACCTATCCTGAATAATTTTCACTATGGCGCGCGAGTGACTGGTTCCGAGAGTAGGCATTTTGACGTATGGCATATAGTAAAAATGCTATTGCGAAACTGATACAGCTAATCAAGGATCTACATAGGTATGTTAATTAATAACAAATCATATATCATAAGAATGATATTTAATAGTTGTAAGACAATTATGCAACACTTGAGTATAATGAACTTAATTATCTTCTATATACTTCCCCTTTTCTTCTAATTATTACATTGAAATTTTGATAACCTAATATTTAGTATATTAGAAAATGCCTGGTCATTCTATATATAACTTGCTTATTAGTTTTTTTTTATAAATGTCTGCAAACTTATCATTCAGTACCTGGAACATCCATGGTATTTCAAATGTTGTCCTTGGTGAGAAAACTAAAAACAAGGACTTCATTGACCATATTAATAATATAGATTTCATTTTCCTCACTGAAACTTGGTGCAACTCAAATATAGATGTTCCTGGTTTCAGGTCTTTTGTCTCTGATACTGCAAAACCTCATACCAACCGGGCATGTCGCAAATCGGGTGGTATCACTCTGCTAACCAGAACCAAATTTGAAAAATTTACTTCAATTGTTAAAAAGTCGAAAAATTTTCTATGGTGCAAAATATCAAAAGATGTGTTCAATGCCAAAAATGATCTATTTGTATGTGGTGTGTACTTTCCACCAGAAAAATCTGTTTATTTTGAAAATGAAATTTTTGATGAATTACAAAATGATATTATACAATTTTCATCAAAAGGAAACATAACGATCCTTGGTGATTTTAATGCTAGAACCAATACACTCGAAGACTTTATCTCTAAAGATGGCAACAATTTTATATATGACACTAGTGAAAATTGCTTGCAACCAAAAAACAGATTAAATTTCGACCACCAAATTAATAACCATGGTAAACAGTTAATTAATCTATGTAAAAACTGTGACATGAAAATTTTAAACGGACGCACAAAAGGTGATTCCTTTCGACGAGCTACTTTCCATGGTAACAATGGTATAAGTGTAGTTGATTACATCATATGTGACCAGGAATTATTTAGAAATACTAATTATTTTGTAGTAAAACCACCAACATACCTATCAGACCATAGTCAAATTGTTACATGGGTTGGTATCGGTCAGACAAACGAAAAACCAGATACCAATCCTGGATGTAATATTGAAATGACTAAATTACCAAACCAATACACTTGGGATAACCACTCTAAAAATAACTTTAGAGAATCATCAAGATCACAAGAAATGCAAAAGAAATTGAATGAATTTATGAACTCAGATTTCACAAATGATTTGAACGGAACAAACCAATGTGTAACTGAATTCCAAAACATCTTACTCGAAACATCGAAAATTAAAAAGAGCAAACGAAGAAGAAAAATTACTATAACGTGCTCAAAATAAATGGTTTGATAAAGACTGTAAAATCAAACGACAAGATTTAAGGAAATTATCTAATTTAAAACATAGAGATCCTACAAATGTTGAACTTAGAAAAAACTACCATGATGCCTTGAAGTCATATAAGGTAACCCTACAGCTGAAACAAAGTGAATTTCACAACAAAAAGATGAATGAACTAGAAACAGCTAGTCAAAATGATTTTAACCTTTTCTGGAAAACACTAAAGAACTTGACAGACGACCTTAATACTGAAACTAATTCTGAAAACTCATCAGAAAATCATGAATGGTACTCACATTTTGAACAACTACATTGTGATCACCATCTTAGTGAAGAACAAGAAAAAATTATCAGAAAATTGAAACAAAAGGAAAATTCGAAAAATCTCCTCAATGAGCTTGATACGGAAATAATAATTGAAGAAATAATAAAAACAGCTAAGAAAATAAAATCTAAAAGACTGATGAACTTTTTCAAAAACTAAAGAATTGTTACACCCTTCTCAAATTGGTTTCCTACCAAATAACAGAACAGCCGATCATATTCTTACCTTAAAAACGTTGCATGATAAATACGTTAATCAAAATAATGAGAAAATTTACACATGCTTTATTGATTTTAAAAAGGCCTTTGATTCTGTCTGGCACGAAGGTCTTTATTGAAACTATTAGAAAATGGAATTGGAGGATGCTTCTATGATCTGATAAAGGATCTGTATTCTAATACTCGGTGTGCAGTGAAAGTATCGGGTCATAGAACACCC